TGTCAGATTCGATGCTTGAACTCTCTTTGGCTTATAATGGTAGTCTTTAACAAAAGTTTACTGGGATCCTGAATATATATATTATAAATACTACCCTGTTTATTCTTTCATTCTCTCTCTTTCTCTCTGTTTCTGTCTCTCTTTTTCTTTCTCTCCCACTCTCTCCTTTTCTCCTTATTATACAAGTGTGGTTTTGGTGTGATATTTGTTTGGAGAGCTTACAATCTAGCTGTGGTTAGAAGAGAAACATATTTTTTAAAGGAAAAATTATAAATAGTGGTGAATAGTCTAGATACAAGGGCAGTTAGGAGTGAGAGAAACCATGTGGTATTTGGTATGTCATTTCAAGCATGGTAGGGTTTTCAGTATGAAGATGTGGGGAGAACAGCAATCTAAGCAGAGAGAATGAAGTAAGTAAGACTATGGGATTAAGAAGTAGAAAGAGGGAGATCAAATTACTAGAAGCAATAAATAAATATATTAAAAGGAATAGTACCATGAAGCCGAAATGTAGGCTGTGAGTATATATAACTTTTACTGTAAGGCTGAGATGTTTTAAGTTTTTAATTTCTTTTTTACCTTAAAAAAAAGCACTTTTATTTCAATAAGAAAACCACAAACGCTGGAAATGTGTCCTTTCATGACTCTTATAATCAATAATATTTATTGAATGTAAGTTATGTACATATAACTAGCTTGGCAATTGCAGAGTCCTACCCTCAGAAGTCTTTCATTTTAGGGGTGGAAACAGATGTGTAAACAAATGACTATGATACCATATTCCAAATGCTATTATAGAGATATGCCTATGAAATAAACAATCACAGAAAAGGAAACAGCTATCTCAGAAGGGTTTGGGTAAGACTCATGATGCAGTTGAATAGTGAAGACAGCTTTTTCAAAAAGAGAGAACAGAAGAAAACAAAATTTAGCCTCATTAAAGATTAAGGGGGAATGTAAGAAATGGAAATTCTATAAAGCTGGTTATGGTGAATGGAATGAGTAGCAGATGATAGACTTCCAAATGCCATTTGAAGCCACATTCTGAAGGGTGCTGAGGGTCAGAGTAGACTTTGTGTAGTCCCTAGAGGTGTAAGCAGGGGAATGGCATGATTAGATACAAGGGACTTCAACAATGATGTGGCCCACTTACTACAAGTTATGGCTGAGGCTTAGAGGGTGGACAGGAAGACTAGAGACATGGGAGGAATTCTCGTAAGTAGGAAAGGGCTTCTGTGAGCTAGAGTCTATGTGCCACAGGAAGATGGATGATAGAGAAAGGTACATCATTTGCCACTTTTTAAGATTTTAGGGGGTAGATGCAGACCCTCCCAGGGAGAGTAGTTTTTAGCTCTTACCACTAAAAAATTTCATTCCAAAATGTTTGCTGATTTTTTTTTTTTTTTTTTTACAGACTTTCTAAATCTTCCAAAGCATACCATCTAAAAGCCATTATCACTTTCTGGTTCATGTATGACTTTCACAGTCTTGCTTTTGTCCCTGCCTGACTTTAGTAATTTTCACACTCTCAAGTATGAACAGCTTTGAATTTGCTTTGTTATGACTGTGTCAGTTAAATGGACCCATGTTCTTAGCATTTGTCCTGGGAAATCTTTTTTTTTTTTTTTGTCCTGGGAAATCTTTAGGTTAGAAAGATGTTCTGCACAATTTTGGATTTTATTGTTCTTTCTCATAAGAATTGTCATTGAACTTTATACTTTCCAGTAATTGCATTTATTTACCATGTAGTACCTTCCATTTTGTTTGGTACCTTACTATTAACTCTGCTTTCTTTACCAATCTCTATCAGTTAGGAATAGGGTTGGCTCTGCTTGACACAGACTAAAATAACAAGACCTTATTTTTCTTACATAAAAGCCAGACCTTGGTAATTGAATGCTGGCTTAGTGCCATTGCCCCACAAAACCCTCAGAGACCCAACTCCTTTCAGCTTGCTTGCCACCACTCCCTTGGGAGTAGCCCTTGTTTTCATGGTCTCAACTGATCCACACACATATCCCCATCCCAGGCCACACAGCAATAAGGCAGAGGGCTGAGAAGGGGTAAAGGAAACCTAGAAGCTGTTTTAAGGACAGAGTCTTCATGTATACAGAGACCTTTCTGCAAACATCTCACTGACCATTACTGAGTCCATAACCACAGCCAGCTGCATGATATGTAGGGAAGTATAGATAAGTAGTCTTATTTTATGAAAAGACAATAAAGGATATTAGGAGAAATTAAACTTAAAAAAGAAGGAGGGAACATAATATTTTAGGCAGATAACCACATGAGAGACCCAGAAAACCTTTGTTCAGGGCCAGTTTCACTTGGGTTACCTCTCTGAACCTGTTTGTCCTAAAATTAGGATAATCATTCTGTCCTAAATGTTCCCATAGTGTTGGCGGTTGAGGGTCAAATACAATGATGAATTGAGAATTCAGTGCTGCATAAAAATAAAGTATTATTTTTAAAGTATTAAGCAATCTTCTGAATATAAACTCTATAGATATTAATGAGACGGTGTCAGTTTTTACATCAGACCCTATGATAACCTTATTTGACAAGCAAAAGATTAACAGATTAATGACAAAGAACTCTTTAAAAAAAGAAAACACCTTTCAAGCATATGATAATGCATTTGATTCTTCTATGAATGCTGTGTAATAAGGATTATTATGTTCATTTTACAGAGAGGAAAATTAAAGCAGAGGTTAAATAAATGGCTCTGGGCTAGGTAGCTTCTGAGTGGTGAGTTTAGAAACTATGTTGTCTGCAAATCTCACACTTTCTTTGTGATCTGTTGCTGCTCAAATCCTTATGCGTCACGTTTCTCGTTTTCTGTTTGGCAAAGTTTAGAGCTCCAAGATTAGAGTGACAGACAGTCAGATATTTATCCCTACTTTATCTACATAGTGTTCATTCTCATTTCTCCCTAGTATGAATCAAATCCAATTTACCAGTTCCTTTCTGTGCACATACATTATTCTCCAGAACCACCTAAAATCTTGTCCCACTAAAATGTTTTTCCATATTTGACTTACCCAAATTCTGCCCTTTCTTTGAGTGTCAACCAGGGTCCCATCTTCTGTGTGAGACATTTCCTGAATATTTCAGGCCACACAGATCTTCCATTTTCCTGAACTTCTGTAACATAGAGAATATAAATAGAATGCATATATTACATTTAATTATAGAAATAAATTATACACTGTATCAGAATATTCCATATGTCTTAGGTTTCTCTCCCCATCTAGACTTTAAGGTCTTATACTTCTTAAGTTATTTCAGTAGCACAAGGACAGTGGTAAGAACATAGGAAGAACAAAACCAGTTCATATTCAAATTGAGCCAACTAGTAATTCTTGAGCATCTCATAAGATATAGTCTTAACTTTCATCTCAAATGAGGAAACAGGTTCAAAGAGGCAAAAAGACTGATCCAGTGTCAAGCATCTAGGAATTAAAACCTGCTGTAATAAAGCTGTGGTCCTAGGCTTGATCCTCTACAAATATCAACTGAACATTTGTCTGGAAGCCAAATACTCTGTGTGTGTTTAGCTTACCATCCCAAGTTGAGAGAAGCCAAGGATAATTAGGCATTCCTGGTAATCATTGGGTGGATTTTCATATATCTTATATTCAAAACCAAGAAGATGACCAGAACCGATGGATGTTTTATCAGTAGAAAAGAGGGATAAGAACTTCCAACTAAACCAAGATGTTAAAAATGAACTATAGGTATATGCCCTTATGTATGCCACCATGAGATATTTAGTCCATAGCCATGTTGCCATCTGTAGAGCCTATATGATTACTTTCTTCTGTTATGTAATATGAATTTTTTCAGGGAAGGGGCAATGTTTTATGCTTATGTTCATTTTATAATCGCAATGACAACTAGAGTAGTGCTAAGGAGATTCATAAAAAATACATTGTTGGAAGAAAAACATTATCTTCTTGTTTTCTTCTTTCTGGTATTTAAATACCTTCTTCATGTAGACTGTTGAATATTTTCACTGATGGACAACCCAAATATTTAAAGACTACAAGCATGTTCCCATTTCATCTTAGGATATTGAATTGAATTGAACAATTTTTAATGGTTTTAGTGGTTTTATAATGTATATATACATATGTGTATATATCTGTGTATATACATATATATATATATATGTTCTGAGATATAAAATATGTCCATCAGAGCTTAAGCTATCAATTATTGATCCATTTATATATATCTACATTTACTTGTAAAATAATTGAGCTATAAAAAGAAATGCTTTCATTCCACCAATATAGCTAAGAATGATTTAGTGATTTTTATGTTTACTCCTGTATTCAAGGCAATGTTTAGGACCACAGGGAAAGATCTTAAAATAAAAAGCTCTGGCATAGGTTATAAAGATCATATTTTAGGGCATCCCCGGTGGCGCAGTGGTTTAGCGCTGCCTGCAGCCCAGGGCGCGATCCTGGAGACCCTGGATCAAGTCCCGCGTCCGGCTCTCTGCATGGAGCCTGCTTCTCCCTCTGCCTGTGTCTCTGCTACTTCTCTCTCTCTCTCTCTGCATCTCTATGAATAAATAAATAAAATCTTTTTTAAAAAAGATCATATTTTATTATTACTTATGACTGCAATGACATTTTCTGCTGTTGAAAATATTTTGGTTCAAATTATTTTTGTTTGAAAAAATCATATTACACTATTTGAGTATGTTTTCATTTCGTGAAACAAAAATGTGGGGCCCATAGAGGCCTTGTAATGTAATATAACCCCTTTACTTTACTACAGATGAGTTTATGTGATTTACCTGAGGTCACAGAGTTAATTAAAGGTAGTTCAGAGACAAGAAGCCAGTTCTCCTTATCCCCTCGGTCTCCCTCTCTCTCCCTACTAATTTCAGTTTATACTTTTTAATTCTCAAAAGAGTCATCTTGAGAAGCAGGATGATTTATTCCAAAGGTCACTGATTCTTTCCTCTCTGTCTTTTTCCTCTCCAGCCCTCTTCAATCTAATTCCTGTGGGCCTGCGTGTGGTGGCTATCCAAGGAGTGAAGGCCAGCCTCTATGTGGCCATGAATGGTGAAGGCTATCTGTACAGCTCAGTAAGTACCTTGTAAAATGTGTGTGTATGTGTGTGAGTGTGCTTGTGTGCACACATAAGCTGGCATTGAGAGGTAGGTAAGTAACCGTTATTTTAGGGAAGAAAACTAGAAGTTGAAGTCATTTTATATTTTCTGACCCAAAATGTCAGGCTTTTATTAAGATTTTATAATTTACAATGTGAAGGATTGTGCCCTGTTGAGAAAGAGCGAGTTACTCTCAATACAGTGCAAACTCTCTTCATCTGGCTTCTACTTCTAGAGGATAATCAGTCTTTCAAGTTTTACCTTTCTGTTTAAATAAAGGGGTGAGTCAGTTTTCCTTTTTCCTGTTACTTCTTGAAGCACAGAGGATGGTTTAAGAAGTTAAATTCTTCAGTTTGTCTGGGAGTCTTCTCTGTCTTCTTGTTGGGAAAAAAACTTTTGGAATAGGTTGTGTTTTGCTTGTATTTAAGTACATTTTTTCAGTACTTAATCCATCAGATTCCTGGCATAACTGGTCACTTCAAAACCATGTGAATTTATGGAATGAGCTCTTGATTATGACTGGAAATTTGAGTTTTATACACATTTCAGTTACTATTTCTTTTTGGTCAAGTTCCCTTCCCTCTTTGGCTTAATTTCTGGACTTTTAAAATGAGAGTGTTGGACACCATATCATTTAGCATCTCTTTTAAATCTTAAACTGATATATTTAGGTAGCATCAGTGGCTAGATTATAAGCACTGACATATTTTAAAGTACTTAACTCTTGTCTGATGTCTGTCTGATTCTCAAGATAATAATTTATGTACTGGGAGAGTGTGGCTGCATTGAATCTCATGTATATAGATAATTTCTGTTCTCTCATAAGGGAATTGCCTTTTTGTAGTTCATGAAGAGAGATTCTTGAAAATCATGGGTAAAGATTTCCACACTTTCTATGATCTCAGTAAACAGCATAGTTATTAGGGAAGTTCGCTTATGCCTACTAGATTCTAAATTAAATATTAAATAGCTTTTATTAAACTTCCTCCATATTCAGTTAAATGAACCTCTGCTATACTATGCTTGCTTTTTAGTAATACGTTTGTCATTCATATTAGGATTTTTGTTACTGTCTTATTCCTGAGCATATTCAGATATGAATTTGTATTCATATGCTAGATGTACACATGCACATTTTTTTCAACAGTTCCATTCAATATAATACAGATCAATATATTTTTTGGCTAAAACAAAAATGAGCTTTTATTCTTGATGTGTCATAATTCTAACAGTTTTTAATGTCCAGCTATTGTGAGTCTATATTTTAAATGCAAGAAATAAAATAAACAAAAGGAAGATAAAAGGTTGTTTTGAATGATTCCAATTAGTTAAACTTTAAAAAAAGTTTTGACAGTATTACAAAGTAAAATATGGAGATGATTTTAGGATTAAGGATTTAATCAGTCATCAAGTAAAGAGCTAAAACTAGCAATTATACAAAAAAGATGAGTTTAGTTCTTTGGACCAAAGTTCATTTCCAAAGGTTTGGGAAGAAGATAAATGCAAAAAAAAAAAAAAAGTCTGACAACAGTATTGTAGGCAGAGGACAGTTGTATAGGAGAGAGAGAGGGAGGGAGAGAGTGTGTCTGTGTGTGTGTGTGTGTGTGTATAGGGGGTAGTGGTGGGGAGGGCTCACTCTTGCTGAATGCAATCCCAAAGTTCCTGAGAAGAGTCTAGGTACTCAGTATGAGATAACTGAACTTCATACTTTGAAGGACATTCAGAGACGCATACTTTTTATTCTTGCTCAGAACTAATAGGAGTAAGTGCTGGTGTTTAATTTTGAATGGTGGGCACAGGCCTGAAGATTTTATTATAAGACTAGGGAAGGCTAAAACTAGGGTAGGTGAACCTGAAAGATTATAGAGCACCAAGACTCCATCACTCATGCATTACTGGTCCATGTGGCATGCCTCAGCAAGATAGCATCAGCATAGCCAGGGCCTTGTGGTGAGTTAAAAGGCTGTTAACATAGGCTTTCTTGAGGTGTTTTTGGTGTGTATTAAGGCTTGAAGTTTCTTTTAAAAAGCAGTTTCCTACTTCATGTTAAAAAGCTTGGATAGGCCCACCAATGGAGGCCAAAGCTAGTATATTGCAGGGACTCGTGGTTGACGTGTGGCTGGGGACAAACCCAGGTCCTAAAGAAGCCAGTTAGAGTACAAATGGTATCATTTATCTGGTGTCATTCATCTGGATTGTGTTCATTTTTTTTTGTGTGTGTGTGTGTTCATTTTTAAACTAGGAATGAAATCCCTTGTGACTTCTGATTTCTCCCCCTCACCAGGAGAAAGAAAGGGTGCAAAAGATGGAATGACTGTTGGAGAGCATAGAGCTAAAATTTAAGATTCATTCTGAAAAATCCATTTTAATAGCTGAGTTTAATTAATGCGCATTTAATAAGATCACTGATGCATCTGGATTTGTTTTTACCATTGTAGTTTGTATATTTTTTGCTTCCATCTTCTTTTTTCATTTCCTTGTGTTGACACTTTTTTTTTCTATTCTGTTCTTATTCTTCCACTAGTTTGTAAATGTAGGTTATAATTCTGCATCTTTAGTATTTACCCGCTTTTTTTAAACATGCATATATAAGTATACAGTCTGCTAAATATTTTTTTGTGTGTGTTTCTGTCCTCCTTCCCAAAAGCTGGTGGACCTTAGGCTGTTGCCTTGCCTTCTAAGTACCATCATGCTTCTCACCAATTTGGTCAGAAGGAAGAAAACTTAAAAAGAAAATCATTTGCATACTTAGTTATTATTCTTTAGATAATAATTAAATTTACCAATCTTTAAAATAATTTACATGCATATAGTTTTCGGTTTTGTGTGCATATCAAATTTGAACTCTCCGAAGTTTATTTTTCTTCTAAAAGAAATCTTTGTGTTGGATGTGAAGGTCCATAGGTGAGGAATTCATTTCGTCTTGGTATCCATGAAAAGCCTTCTTTTCACTTTCATTCTTGCATTGTAGTTCAGATAATATTACGATTCCAGTAGACCTATATTTTTCCCAGCAGTTTGAAAATTATATTCCATTGGTTTCTGTCATCTGTTGTTGACTTTGAGAAATTTGCTGTCAGTTTAATATTCTTTCCTTTGTAGGTAACTACAAAAACTACAAAACAAAAGTTTCCTCTTTATGTTGCATGCTTTACACATTCAACTATAATATCTTGTGAATCTATCTTAATTTATCTTGTTCAAAATTCTGAATGCACTTTTAATCCCCAGATTCATATTTCTTCAGTTCTGGGAAATTTTAATTCAACCCATGTACATTTTATTTCTCTATCTTGATGCTGATAATGTTCAAAATGACTTATGTTAGAAACTCAAATTCATCTACTCTAGGGTTAATGTCAGCTATTTTGTGATTTCAATCACTGTTTTTCGTTTTTGGATGTCGAATGGTTTCTGAGTACTATCCATCTGATCTTGACTGATTTCTTCCTGTTTTTACTATCTGGCTCTTTTTTTTTTAATCTGGCTCTTTTTATAGGAAGTTATTTACTCATTTATCTCTCTGAGCATTCTTATAATACTTTGTCAGAATTTCCTATGAGTTTAATTTCTTTGGTAATGAATTCATGTGTTAATCATTGATTTTGTCGGCTATCATTTTAAGAATTGGATTGAAATTATATTAGGATTTAGAATTAGTTCTCTATGTGTTTGGGATTTTGGTCTGCAGGAACATTTGTTTTCCCTCCCCTCCCCTGCCTCATGATCTTCCTCTGAGGTCTATCCTCACTTTCTAGTTTGTTGTTGTTGTTGCTGCTATCCAGCCTCCAGTGGCAGTAGTTTAGAATAAGATGTTAGAGTCATTCAAAGCTCCTATCCTAGGGTAACAGTGGGGTTAAGGAAGGGGGCCTGGGCTAATTCTAGTTCCTCTCATTGTGAGGCTGTGTCTCTCACTAGATCTTGCCTAAAGTTGTATCAGCATTTTTATTTTAGCATTTTTACAGTTGGAGCAGGAAAACTATACCAACCAATAGTGTGAGCAAGTAGACTGGCTCCGGTCCCCATCCTGCATAGGGGACTTTTATTCCCATTGACTTGCCCAGAGTGGAACCCTAGGGCACACCACCAAGGTCAGGATAGGGAGCTTGCAGCTACAGCCTGCTCAATCCTTTGTTTCCATTCCATAGGGATGCTTAGCTTGCTTTGAACCTATGTCATTTAGATCTTAGATTTTTATATTTTATTCATTATTGCTACCTGTTTGGAGCACAGTGGGTGCAACATGGTCTGAACTCATGCCTTTTTCAATTATAGTAAAAACACATGAAATTATAGTAAAAAACACATAAAATTTACCATCCTAACCATTTTTAAGTGTTACATTACAGTAGTGTTAACTTTATGCACATTATTGCGCAACAGCTCTCTAGAAATTTTTCATCTTGCAAAACTGAACTTCTGTACCTATAAACAAAAATTCCCTTCCCCCCTCCCTCTCAGCTTCTGGCAAACACCATTTTCCTTTCAGTTTCTGAGTTTGACTACTTTAGATACCTCATAATTGTGGAATCATGTAGTATTTAATCTGTTTGTGATTGGCTCATTTCACTTAGTATAATGTCTCCAAGGTTCATCCATATTGTGGCATCTGAACAATTTCCTTCTTTTTAATTTTTTGAGAAACTTCCATACTGTTTCCCAAAGCAGCTGCATCATTTTATATTCCCAACAGCAATGTTCAAGGGTTTCAATTTTTCCATATTGTTGCCAACATTTATTTTCCTTCCTCTCCCATTTTCTCTCTTTCACAGTCTGTTTCTTCCTTCCTTCCTTCCTTCCTTCCTTCCTTCCTTCCTTCCTTCCTTCCTTCCTTCCTTCCTTTCCTTCTTCCTTCTTCCTTCTTCCTTCTTCTTTCTTTCTTTCTTTCTTTCTTTCTTTCTTTCTTTCTTTCTCTTTCTTCTCCTTCTTTCTTTCTTCGTTCTTCTCTTTTTTTGTTAGTGGTCCTAAAACATACA